GAGTCTAACCCTTCCGTCATGTCGTTCACATATACCAAAAATAGCACTGGTCCTAGGACCGACCCCTGTGGGACCCCGCTCGTCACAGGTGCCCACTGTGATACATCATTACGTACCATGACTCGTTGTTGCCTCCCTGTCAGGTATTCTCTGATCCATTGCAGTGCCCTTCCTGTTATATGCGCCTGATGCTCTAGCTTCTGCACTAATCTCTTGTGAGGAACTGTGTCAAAGGCCTTCTTGCAGTCCAAGAAGATGCAATCAACCCACCCCTCTCTCTCTTGTCTTACTTCTGTTATTTTATCATAAAACTCCAGAAGGTTTGTGACACAGGATTTGCCTTCCGTGAATCCGTGCTGGTTGGCATTTATACTCCTGTTCCGTTCCAGGTGCTCCACCACTCTCCTCCTGATAATCTTCTCCATAATTTTGCATACTATACACGTCAATGACACAGGTCTATAGTTTAGTGCCTCTTTTCTGTCTCCTTTTTTGAAAATGGGAACTACATTTGCCGTCTTCTATACCTCAGGTAGTTGCCCAGTTTCCAGGGATGTGTTGAAGATTGTGGTAAGTGGTACGCACAACATATCTGCTCCCTCTCTAAGGACCCATGGAGAGATGTTGTCCGGTCCCATTGCCTTTGAGGTATCGATGTCCCTTAGCAGTTTCTTCACCTCCTCCTCATCTGTATGTATGTCGTCCAACACTTGTTGGTGTCCCCATCTGGTCTGTCCCCCCAGAGTCCTTCCTGTCTCTACTGTAAATACTTCCTTAAATCTCGTGTTGAGCTCCTCACATACCTCTTGATCGTTTCTTGTGAGTTCTCCACCTTCTTTCCTCAGCCTTATCACCTGGTCCTTGAGTTTGTCTTCCTCCTAATGTGGCTATACAGCAGTTTCGGGTCAGATTTGACTTTCGATGCTATGTCGTTTTCATACTGTCGCTGGGCCTCCCTCCTTATCTGCGCATACTCGTTTCTGGCTCTTCTACTAATCTCCTTGTTTTCCTGGGTCCTATGCCTCCTGTACCTTTTCCATTCTCTGTTGCACTTAGTTTTTGCCTCCCTACACCTTCGGGTAAACCAAGGACTCGTTTTGGTCTTCCTATTATTTCTGTTTCCCTTGGGAACAAAACTTTCCTCTGCCTCCTTGCACTTTGTTGCCACATATTCCATCATCTCGTTTACTGATTTCCTACCAATTCTCTGTCCCACTGAACCTCCTGCAGGAAGTTTCTCATACCTGTGTAGTCCCCCCTTTTATAGTTTGGCCTGTCCCCTTCAGTTCCTGTTACCTTCTCCACTTGTAACTCTACTATATAGTCAAAACTCAGAACCACATGATCGCTAGCTCCAAGGGGCCTCTCGTAAGTGATGTCCTCGATGTCTGAACTGCTCAGGGTGAACACAAGATCCAGTCTTGCTGGCTCATCCTCCCCTCTCTCTCTGGTTGTGTCCCTGACATGTTGATGCATGAGGTTTTCAAGTACCACATCCATCATGTTGGCTCTCCATGTTTCGGACCCCCATGTGGCTCCAGGTTTTCCCAGTCGATCTCCCTGTGGTTGAAATCGCCCATTACCAGTAACTTTGCTCTGCTCGAGTGAGCTCTTCTTGCCACCTCAGCCAGTGTGTCCACCATCACCCTGTTGTTTTCTTCGTACTCCTCTCTTGGCCTCCTGCAGTTCTGTGGTGGGTTATACATCACTCCAATGACTACTTTATGTTCTCCGGACTGAATTGTACCTACAATGTAGTCTCTTTCTCCAATCATGTCCATGCCTTCCATTTCCTCAAATCCCCATTGGTGTTTTATGAGCAGTGCAACCCCTCCTCCCCCTCTACTCCTTCTATCTTTCCTCAGGATCTGATATCCTGTTGGGAAGATTGTGTCTGTTATTGTCTCAGCGAGTTTTGTTTCTGTGACTGCTATGATGTCTGGGGATTTTTCACTGATTCTTTCATTCCACTCCTCATGTTTATTCGTTATTCCATCCGCGTTTGTGTACCAAACCTTTAGTTTCTTTTCTATCATTGTGGTCATGCAAGTATATTGGGGTTGGGGAGCGAGAGCCTTGGTGGGGCCTATATGGGGCTGTGGTGTAGGTGGGGTTTGTGTTGATGGGGGTGGGGTCAGAATGCCCATAAGGGGCAGCTGTTGGGTGAGGTTTGTGATATGGGGGTTGGTGGCAGAGGGAACAGTGAGTGGGTTGTAGTATAGGTTGCTCAGTTGCGTTGGGAATGTCGCGGGTGGAGTCTTTTGGTGGGAGATTCTGTGGGGTGTGTTTGCCCTTCCTCCTGTGTCTGGGTCCTGCTCATTTTCATTGCTTCTCGTTCCTCCTTGCGTCTCTGTACCCTCTCTTTCAGTGTAGTCCTTTCTTCTTGTGTTCTGTCGCGGTCGAGGTATACTCTCTGGTACCCCTCTTTGTCCCTCAGTCTTGCTTTCTCTTGCAGAATCCTGGTTCGAACTGATTCTTCCTTGAAAGTTACTCTGACAGGCCGTATCCTTCCACTCGCAAACCACCCAATTCTCTGAAAATTTGTCACCTGGGTCATATTGCCCTCCCCTATTGTTTTCATGATGCCTTCAATCATTTTTTTCTCCTCCTGTTTTATTTCTTCAAAGTTGGCCCCCTTGGCTTCTTGGAGCCCGTACACAAAAACTGACCTCGCCCTTTCCTCCTCCCACTGAGTCTCCATCTGCTTCCTCTGAGGCATTTTATTTCCTTCCATTGACATGTTCTTGCCTTCAGTCCCTGTCATATCTGAAACTTCTATTCTCAGTGAACTGTCTTTCCTGACCAGCTGTCCCTTGCTACTGCAGTTGGCTGTTAGAATCTCTGCATATAACAAACCTTCATTGTCTTCGGACCTGTCGCTTGATCTTAGTGTGCTCATCGTCTGTGTGTCTGTGTATGTGTTGTTGTGTGTGTGTGTGTGTGTGTGTGTGTGTGTGTGTGTGTGTGTGTGTGTGTGTGTGTGTGTGTGTGTGTGTGTGTGTGTGTGAGTGTGTTTACCTGTCCAGCAAGACGGGAAACATTCAGACAACCATCTCCTGCTGGCTCGCCCTCCACCTCCGCCTCGCGGTGGTCGTCGAGGTCCTCCTCATCTCGAGTGTCGTCCGGAAGTGACTCTCGGGTGGAAGGTCGTCCTCGGGGTAGGTTCTCCTTGCCTCGCGAGGTGGAGCGAGACTTGCCTGAGGGGGGCTTCTCGCCCGTAGCTCGACCCTTTACGTTACTCCTGTAACATAAAACACATTTAACATTCTCACTCTCAAAACAAGTCGATGTATTTCTTTCATAATGAATGATACTCAGCCTGCCACCATCATCAGCACTTGTACCATCATCAGCACTTGTACCATCATCAGCACTTGTACCATCATCAGCACTTGTACCAGCATCAGCACTTGTACCATCATCAGCACTTGTACCAGCATCAGCACTTGTACCATCATCAGCACTTGTACCATCATCAGCACTTGTACCAGCATCAGCACTTGTACCATCATCAGCACTTGTACCATCATCAGCACTTGTACCATCATCAGCACTTGTACCATCATCAGCACTTGTACCATCATCAGCACTTGTACCATCATCAGCACTTGTACCAGCATCAGCACTTGTACCAGCATCAGCACTTGTACCAGCATCAGCACTTGTACCAGCATCAGCACTTGTACCATCATCAGCACTTGTACCATCATCAGCACTTGTACCAGCATCAGCACTTGTACCATCATCAGCACTTGTACCATCATCAGCACTTGTACCATCATCAGCACTTGTACCATCATCAGCACTTGTACCATCATCAGCACTTGTACCATCATCAGCACTTGTACCAGCATCAGCACTTGTACCAGCATCAGCACTTGTACCAGCATCAGCACTTGTACCATCATCAGCACTTGTACCAGCATCAGCACTTGTACCATCATCAGCACTTGTACCATCATCAGCACTTGTACCAGCATCAGCACTTGTACCATCATCAGCACTTGTACCATCATCAGCACTTGTACCAGCATCAGCACTTGTACCATCATCAGCACTTGTACCATCATCAGCACTTGTACCAGCATCAGCACTTGTACCAGCATCAGCACTTGTACCATCATCAGCACTTGTACCAGCATCAGCACTTGTACCATCATCAGCACCTGTACCAGCATCAGCACCTGTACCAGCATCAGCACCTGTACCAGCGTCAGCACCTGTACCAGCATCAGCACCTGTACCAGCATCAGCACCTGTACCAGCGTCAGCACCTGTACCAGCATCAGCACCTGTACCAGCGTCAGCACCTGTACCAGCATCAGCACCTGTACCAGCGTCAGCACCTGTACCAGCATCAGCACCTGTACCAGCGTCAGCACCTGTACCAGGATCAGCACCTGTGCCAGCGTCAGCACCTGTACCAGCATCAGCACCTGTACCAGCGTCAGCACCTGTACCAGCATCAGCACCTGTACCAGCGTCAGCACCTGTACCAGCGTCAGCACCTGTACCAGCATCAGTACCTGTACCAGCATCAGCACCTGTACCAGCATCAGCACCTGTACCAGCATCAGCACCTGTACCAGCGTCAGCACCTGTACCAGCATCAGCACCTGTACCAGCATCAGCACCTGTACCAGCGTCAGCACCTGTACCAGCATCAGCACCTGTACCAGCATCAGCACCTGTACCAGCGTCAGCACCTGTACCAGCATCAGCACCTGTACCAGCGTCAGCACCTGTACCAGCATCAGCACCTGTACCAGCGTCAGCACCTGTACCAGCATCAGCACCTGTACCAGCATCAGTACCACCACCAGTTGTTACTAGCAACGTATCACATCATCCCACGAAGCATCATCCCCACAGCTGAACTGCTATTCTGCATGCATATCTCAGTCTGTGTTACAGATTACGACATTTATTCCCCCTTTGTGGAGCATCATACTTTCAATAACTTATTGTACCGTTAAGCTTAGTTGAATGGTTATACCCTTGCCTCTAGTCACATGGGTCTGGGATCACTTCTCAAGTGAATATCCCAGAAAACGATAAAAAATATGATGTATTAAAAAAAATATGGTAACTGTACTCCTTGGAACGCAGGCGAGAAAGATATATGATAACATACACTTGGAAAATCTTGGAGGGACTAGTCCCAAATTTGCACACAGAAATCACTCCCTACGAAAGCAAAAGACTTGGTAGGAGATGCAGCATCCCCCGTTGGAAAGCAGGAGCACCACGAGTACACTAAGAGACAACACATTAAGTGTCAGGGGCCCAAGACTGCTCAGTTGCCTCCCAGTATACATAAGGGGGATCACCAATAGACTCCTGGCTGTCTTCAAGAGAGAACTGGATAGTCACCTTAAGTCAGTACTTGACCAGACGGGCTGTGGTTCATACTATGGTTTACGTGCGGCCAGCAGCAACAGCCTGGTTGATCAGTCCCTGATCCACAACGAGGCCTGGTCATGGACCGGGCCGAGAGGGGCGTTGAGCCCCAAACACCCTCCAGGTAAGTTATTCTATGACCTTTAGCAGAAGACATTAGTCATTTTCTCCTGACTAATTTCCTGGCTGTGAGATCTTCCAGCTTGTGAAGCTCCAGGAAGGACACAATATCAGCAGGTCTTAGGAAACACACCAAGATATTTTCTAGCTTAATAACCCATACTAGTTTGGCGCTTCACATAAATATATAATAATCCAGAAAGAACATAAAAGGCACAATACCGTGACTGGAACAATACATAAATAACCCGTACATAGAGGAGAGAAGCTTACGATGTTTCAATCCTACTTGAGCCATTTACAAGTCAAACTAACACACGAAGGTGAGGGAGCAAGTATATATACTGGCTCCCTCACTCTTTTGTGTTAATATTATTAGAATAACAACAACAACAACAACAATAATAATAATAATAATAATAATAATAATAATAATAATAATAATAATAATAATATCTACTTATTACAAGTACATGTACAAGGTATACAGACCGTAGCTGACATCAATGACATACTACTATATAGAAAGTCCCTTGTTATGTTGAGCATTTCGGGCAAATTAGGTCGGTTTTGTCCCAGGATGCCACCCACACCAGTCCACTAACACCCAGGATGCCACCCACACCAGTCCACTAACACCCAGGATGCCACCCACACCAGTCCACTAACACCCAGGTATCCATTTTACTGATGGGTGAACATGGACAACCGGTGTAAGGAAACACGTCCAGTATTTCCACCCCTTCGCCGGGAATCGAACCCGGACCCCCATCTTGTGAAGCGAGAGCTTTTGCCACCACGGGGACCCTGAAAACCAGCGGAAGGCCTCGGTCAGATGACCAGAAGCTTCGGCTGTGGGTCATCATATGACTAAGACCCGCGTCAGGAAACTTCCAGTTTTCTGACAAACATTATAGTACAATCTTTTGTATTAATGTGACTTGTAAATGGTCGAAGTTGGACCGAAACGTCGTTGTAAGTTCCTCCCATGTGCGGATTATTTGTGTATATTATAATCTAGTCACATTAAATCTGTGTGAAGTAACTTCCTGAGATGTAACATCCTGGTAAGTTATGTCCTTGGACCAGGTCTTTGGACCAGGTCAGAGGACCAGGTCCTTGGACCAGGTCACAGGACCAGGTCAGAGGACCAGGCCAGAGGACCAGGTCAGAGGACCAGGCCAGAGGACCAGGTCAGAGGACCAGGTCAGAGGACCAGGTCAGAGGACCAGGTCAGAGGACCTGGTCCCAGGATTAGTGATTATGGTGAGACTCACATTGTGGTTAAGTCTAGGAAGACTCCAGAACTGTCTTGCCACAGATACTGCGACTGAGGTTCCATCTTTGTCTATCAACCATTTTGAGTCAATACATTTGTCTCACACTTGGTCAGTTTTGGTTTTTGTGGTTTCCACCAAGTGTCTCAGTTTTTTTTTAAGTCGGCGTGAATCACACGCAACCACATACTCAGCATTTTATCACTAATAAGCTAAAATCTCGGTAGTTTATTGTTGGTGTGAGTGAAGGAGCCGCTACTGCTATTGAAGAACACAGGTTATTGTTGGCACTCCGAGCTACATTTGCTTTCCGTGTAACTAGAATTTCAATTATAAGACAGTTCCTATCCTGATTTCAGCTGACTAACATATAACAGAGTTCTGTCTTCAATTCAATTCAATTCAATTCAAGTTTATTCTCTATGCCTGGAGTTTACCTGGAGAGAGTTCCGGGGGTCAACGCCCCCGCGGCCCGGTCTGTGACCAGGCCTCCTGGTGGATCAGAGCCTGATCAACCAGGCTGTTACTGCTGGCTGCATGCAAACCAACGTGCGAGCCACAGCCCGGCTGGTCAGGAACCGACTTTAGGTGCTTGTCCAGTGCCAGCTTGAAGACTGCCAGGGGTCTGTTGGTAATCCCCCTTATGTATGCTGGGAGGCAGTTGAACAGTCTCGGGCCCCTGACACTTATTGTATGGTCTCTTAACGTGCTAGTGACACCCCTGCTTTTCATTGGGGGGATGTTGCATCGTCTGCCAAGTCTTTTGCTTTCGTAGTGAGTGATTTTCGTGTGCAAGTTCGGTACTAGTCCCTCTAGGATTTTCCAGGTGTATATAATCATGTATCTCTCCCGCCTGCGTTCCAGGGAATACAGGTTTAGGAACCTCAAGCGCTCCCAGTAAATGAGGTGTTTTATCTCCGTTATGCGCGCCGTGAAGGTTCTCTGTACATTTTCTAGGTCAGCAATTTCACCTGCCTTGAAAGGTGCTGTTAGTGTGCAGCAATATTACAGCCTAGATAGAACAAGCGACCTGAAGAGTGTCATCATGGGCTTGGCATCCCTAGTTTTGAAGGTTCTCATTATCCATCCTGTCATTTTTCTAGCAGATGCGATTGATACAATGTTATGGCCCTTGAAGGTGAGATCCTCCGACATGATCACTCCCAGGTCTTTGACGTTGGTGTTTCGCTCTATTTTGTGGCCAGAATTTGTTTTGTACTCTGATGAAGATTTAATTTCCTCGTGTTTACCATATCTGTGTAATTGAAATTTCTCATCGTTGAACTTCATATTGTTTTCTGCAGCCCACTGAATGATTTGGTTGATGTCCGCCTGGAGCCTTGCAGTGTCTGCAATGGAAGGCACTGTCATGCAGATTCGGGTGTCATCTGCAAAGGAAGACACGGTGCTGTGGCTGACATCCTTGTCTATGTCAGATATGAGG